GCACACGTGTGCACACCCTTCCCCTTTTCCCTGGCACATGTGCACATGTGTGTGCGTTTCCCCCGTGTGCCTGCACACGCGTGTGCAATCCTCCCCCGGCACACGTGCACACGTGTGCACACCCTTCCCCTCTGTGCATACACACACATATTTGCACACCCTTCCCTGGCACATGTGCACATATGTGCGTGCGTTTCCCCTGTGTGCCTGCACATGCGTGTGCAATCCTCCCCCGGCACACGTGCACACGTGTGCACACCCTTCCCCTCTGTGCATACACACACATATTTGCACACCCTTCCCTGGCACATGTGCACATATGTGCGTGCGTTTCCCCTGTGTGCCTGCACATGCGTGTGCAATCCTCCCCCGGCACACGTGCACACGTGTGCACACCCTTCCCCTCTGTGCATACACACACATATTTGCACACCCTTCCCTGGCACATGTGCACATATGTGCGTGCGTTTCCCCTGTGTGCCTGCACATGCGTGTGCAATCCTCCCCCGGCACACGTGCACACGTGTGCACACCCTTCCCCTCTGTGCATACACACACATATTTGCACACCCTTCCCTGGCACATGTGCACATATGTGCGTGCGTTTCCCCTGTGTGCCTGCACATGCGTGTGCAATCCTCCCCCGGCACACGTGCACACGTGTGCACACCCTTCCCCTCTGTGCATACACACACATATTTGCACACCCTTCCCTGGCACATGTGCACATATGTGCGTGCGTTTCCCCTGTGTGCCTGCACATGCGTGTGCAATCCTCCCCCGGCACACGTGCACACGTGTGCACACCCTTCCCCTCTGTGCATACACACACATATTTGCACACCCTTCCCTGGCACATGTGCACATATGTGCGTGCGTTTCCCCTGTGTGCCTGCACATGCGTGTGCAATCCTCCCCCGGCACACGTGCACACGTGTGCACACCCTTCCCCTCTGTGCATACACACACATATTTGCACACCCTTCCCTGGCACATGTGCACATATGTGCGTGCGTTTCCCCTGTGTGCCTGCACATGCGTGTGCAATCCTCCCCCGGCACACGTGCACACGTGTGCACACCCTTCCCCTCTGTGCATACACACACATATTTGCACACCCTTCCCTGGCACATGTGCACATATGTGCGTGCGTTTCCCCTGTGTGCCTGCACATGCGTGTGCAATCCTCCCCCGGCACACGTGCACACGTGTGCACACCCTTCCCCTCTGTGCATACACACACATATTTGCACACCCTTCCCTGGCACATGTGCACATATGTGCGTGCGTTTCCCCTGTGTGCCTGCACATGCGTGTGCAATCCTCCCCCGGCACACGTGCACACGTGTGCACACCCTTCCCCTCTGTGCATACACACACATATTTGCACACCCTTCCCTGGCACATGTGCACATATGTGCGTGCGTTTCCCCTGTGTGCCTGCACATGCGTGTGCAATCCTCCCCCGGCACACGTGCACACGTGTGCACACCCTTCCCCTCTGTGCATACACACACATATTTGCACACCCTTCCCTGGCACATGTGCACATATGTGCGTGCGTTTCCCCTGTGTGCCTGCACATGCGTGTGCAATCCTCCCCCGGCACACGTGCACACGTGTGCACACCCTTCCCCTCTGTGCATACACACACATATTTGCACACCCTTCCCTGGCACATGTGCACATATGTGCGTGCGTTTCCCCTGTGTGCCTGCACATGCGTGTGCAATCCTCCCCCGGCACACGTGCACACGTGTGCACACCCTTCCCCTCTGTGCATACACACACATATTTGCACACCCTTCCCTGGCACATGTGCACATATGTGCGTGCGTTTCCCCTGTGTGCCTGCACATGCGTGTGCAATCCTCCCCCGGCACACGTGCACACGTGTGCACACCCTTCCCCTCTGTGCATACACACACATATTTGCACACCCTTCCCTGGCACATGTGCACATATGTGCGTGCGTTTCCCCTGTGTGCCTGCACATGCGTGTGCAATCCTCCCCCGGCACACGTGCACACGTGTGCACACCCTTCCCCTCTGTGCATACACACACATATTTGCACACCCTTCCCTGGCACATGTGCACATATGTGCGTGCGTTTCCCCTGTGTGCCTGCACATGCGTGTGCAATCCTCCCCCGGCACACGTGCACACGTGTGCACACCCTTCCCCTCTGTGCATACACACACATATTTGCACACCCTTCCCTGGCACATGTGCACATATGTGCGTGCGTTTCCCCTGTGTGCCTGCACATGCGTGTGCAATCCTCCCCCGGCACACGTGCACACGTGTGCACACCCTTCCCCAGCACACATGCACATGTGTGTGCACCCTTCTCCTGTGTGCATACACACACACATGCACGTATATTTGCACACCCTTCCCTGGCACATGTGCACATATGTGTGTGCGTTTCCCCTGTGTGCCTGCACATGCGTGTGCAATCCTCCCCCGGCACACGTGCACACGTGTGCACACCCTTCCCCAGCACACATGCACATGTGTGTGCACCCTTCCCCTGTGTGCATACACACACACATGCACGTATATTTGCACACCCTTCCCTGGCACGTGTATGCACGTGTGTGTGCATTTCCCCTGTGTGCCTGCACACGCATACTCAATCCTCCCCTGGCACACGTGCACACGTGTGCGCACCCTTCCCTACCACGCACGCACACATGTGCACATCCTTCCCTGGCACACATACACATGTGTGTGCACCATTCTCCTTTGTGTATACACATACACACATGTATTTGCACACCCTTCCCTGGCATGTGTGCGCACATGTGTGTATTTTCCCTGTGTGCCTGCACACGCATGTGCAATCCTCACCCAGCACACATGCACTCATGTGCACGCCCTTCCCTGGCACACATACACATGTGTGCACACCCTTCCCCTCTGTGCATACACACACACACATATTTGCACACCCTTCCCTGGCACGTGTGCGTGCACATGTCTGCATTTCCCCTGTGTGCCTGCACACGCATGTGCAATCCTTCCCTAGCACGCATGCACACATGTGCACACCCTTCCCTCGCACACACACTCACGTGTGCACACCCTTCCCCTTTTCCCTGGCACGTGTGCCCACATGTGTGCATTTCCCCTGTGTGCCTGCACACACATGTGCAATCCTTCCTTGGCATGCATGCACGTGTGTGTGCACTCTCCCGTTGCATGCATGCACATGTGTGTGCACCGTTCCCCCGTGTGCATACACACACACACACATATATTTGCACACTCTTCCCTGGCATGTGCGCACATGTGTGTGCATTTCCCCCGTGTGCCTGCACACGCATGTGCAATCCTTTCTTGGCACGCATGCATGTGCGTGTGCACCCTTCCCTGCCACACATGCACACGTGTGCACACCCTTCCCCTTTTCCCTGGCACGTATGCCCACATGTGTGCATTTCCCCCGCGTGCCTGCACACACATGTGTAATCCTTCCTTGGCACGCATGCTCATGCGTGTGCACCGTTCCCCCGAGTGCATACACACACACACACATATATTTGCACACCCTTCCCTGGCGCGTGCGCACATGTGTGTGCATTTCCCCCGCGTGCCTGCACACACATGTGTAATCCTTCCTTGGCACGCATGCACATGCGTGTGCACCGTTCACCCGTGTGCATACACACACATGCACATATATTTGCACACCCTTCCCTGGCACGTGCGCACATGTGTGTGCATTTCCCCTGTGTGCCTGCACACGCATGTGCAATCCTCCCCTGGCACATGTGCACATGTGTGCACGTCCTTCCCCTTCCCCTGGCACATGTGCACACGTGTGTGCATTTCCCCCACGTGCCTGCACACACGTGCAATCCTTCCTTGGCACGCATGCACGTGTGTGTGCACCATTCACCCATGTGCATACACACACATGCACATGTGTGCACGTCCTTCCTCTTTCCC